GGGGGGTGTCAAAAAGTCCCAAAAAAGGTGTCAGATTATATGTGTCACGACGCGGTGGAATCAGGTGCTCGTCAAGTTGTGGGCATATGAAGTTATTGGTATCATCTTAAAGCCTGTCGATTTGCCTTGCTTTTGATGGAAAAAAATATCTATTCATCTCTTGTACAAGTCAAGATATTGGCCAACGAAGGGCTGGGGTCGCCTGGTTTCAGAAGTAAAATTAGCGAGAAAATGGCCGCTTAAGTTGCGTTATTTCTTTAACTTGAGAGTCTGTGGACAAAGGAAATTTACATCTTTTAAGCCTTTAATAATTTTTGTCAGTAAAATCCACACAGATAGTTGTTCTTCACAAGGCATGAAAGGTGTTGAGCCAAAAAAAAACCCAAAAACCTTTAAAAATTCGAAAACATGCTGGAAAATGCCAGTTTCGTTACTTTCATTATTTCGACAAGCGCCTGATTTCACCATGTTGCCTCCCATACGTGAACAGACCCGTACCAAAAGTGAGAGGGTTTCTCGCGCCATCTGCGTCCAGACCACTCAGAGAGAACACAGAGCCGTTCTGGGAGACTGTGATGTCTGGGTCCGGTGACGTCATGCCATACGTCAGCTGGTCCAGGGGGGTGTCGGGGTCAGTCGCTTCCAGCTGGCGGGAGGAATAAACGGTCTCATAAACCATCACATAAACCATCACATAAACCATGACATAAATAGTCTTTACATAAACGAGCACACAAACCTGTCACATAAACGATCACACAAACCTGTCACATAAACGATAACATAAACATCTCATATAAACGATAACATAAACGATAACATAAACATCTCACATAAACGATAACATAAACATCTCACATAAACATCTCACATAAACGATAACATAAACATCTCATATAAACGAAAACATAAACGATCACTTAAACATCTCACATAAACGATAACATAAACATCTCACATAAACATCTCACATAAACGATAACATAAACATCTCAAATAAACGATAACATAAACATCTCATATAAACGATAACATAAACGATCACATAAACATCTCACATAAACGATAACATAAACATCTCACATAAACGATCACATAAACATCTCACATAAACGATAACATAAACATCTCACATAAACGATAACATAAACATCTCACATAAACATCTCACATAAACGATAACATAAACATCTCATATAAACGATCACATAAACATTCCATATAAACGATCACATAACCACCTCACATAAACGATAACATGAACATCTCACATAAACAGTCGCACATAAACGATCACACTAACAGTCTTTACATAAACGATATCATAAACGATCACATAAACATGTCACATACACGATCGCATTAATATCTCATATAAACGATAACATAAACGATGTCATAAACAGTCTCACATAAACGATCACACAAACTGTCTTTACATAAACGATCACATAAACGATCACATAAACATCTCACATAAACGATCATGAAAACATCTCACATAAACATCTCACATAAACGATCACATAAACTATCACATAAACGATCACATAAACATCTCATATTGTGGCAATATACCTTCAGTGGTAGGAGATATTTTAGAGGTATAATAAAATTATAATGTGAGTGGTGTCGTTATTTTCAAAAACAACTCTTTCTGTTATTGTTAGTTTGTGTAAGCGACATCTCGCTAATTCTACCTCTGAGACCAGGCGACCCCCATTTTCTTCAGATGCCGATATCTCAGCTTCTATCTAAGATAGACAGGAGCTCTTTTCATCAAAAACAAGACAAATAAACACGTTTTAAGATGATAGCGTAACTCAATATGCCCAAAACGAGACGAGCGCCTGATTCTACCGCGTTGAGATAAAAAAAAATCAGACGGAAAAAGACCTCAGGGGATGGGATAAAATCTGTTGTTATATATAAAAAAACAAAAAAACACCCAACAACAACAACCATTAAGTTGTACATCAAGAGAATTCATACTTAGGTGTAAGTCAAGGTATTGACAACAACAACATCAACAACAACAGCAACAACAACAATAACCACAACAACAGCAACAACAACAACAACGACAACAACCACAACAGCAACCATAACAACAACCACCACCACCACCACAACAACAACATCAACAACAACAACAACAACAACAACCACAACCACAACAACAACAACAACAACAACAACAACAACAACAACAACAACAACAACAACCATCAAGCTGTCTATCAAGAGAATGTTATAATTAGGGGTAAGTCAAGATATTGACAACAACAGCAACAACAACAATAACAACAACAACAACAACAACCACAACCACAACAACAACCGCCACCACCACCACCACAACAACAACAACAACAACAACAACAACAACAACAACAACAAAAACCATCAAGCTGTCTATCAAGAGAATTTTATACTCAGGCATAAGTCAAGGTATAGACAACAACAACAACAACATCATCAACAACCACAACAACAACAACAAAATGTAATCGAAACCCAAATCTCAAATAAACGTGTACCTGAAGTAAAAATGACGGGGGCTCATTCTCTCGTACGCTTTTCTCAAACTTGTCTCTGACAAACTTCGGGGGTTCCAGGACCGTCTCCTCAACATCCACGGGCAGTGAGGCTAGAGCCATGAAAGGAGGCGACCCCCCTGTGTGGCAAGAGAGGGTTATACTTAGGTTTATGTCAGTTTAGTTTTTAGTACGAGTTTTACGGCACTTGCAACACAATAAGGTGGTATAAGTAAGTGATGAAGATTAGAGGTGTTACAAGAGAGGAACAAGCACAAAAAAGAAAGAAGAGAGATAAGGACGGTAGATTTTTGATAGGATAGAAGAAGCAAACCACACCAGAGCACCCGCCAACCACCCACAGGCTTAAGTCAAGGTTTTGACAACAACAACAACAATAACACCAACAACAACAACAAAATCATCAACAACAAAAAAGCCAACAACAACAACAAAATCAACAACAACAACAACAAAAATAACAACAGCAACAAAGACAACAACAACAACAAATAACAGCACCAGCAACAACAGTAGTAACAACAAGAGCAAGAACAAAAGGAACAGCAACAAACAAACAAAAAAACTACAACAACAACAACCACAATAGCAACAACAACAATAACAGCTGCAACAACAAAAACAATAACAGAAGCTGCAATAACAACAATAGCAACAACAACGGCAACAACAACAACACCACCACTTAAAACAACAACAACAACAACAACAACAACAACAATTACAACTACAACAATAACAACAACAGCAAAAATAACGCAAGCAACAATAACATCAACAACAATACAATAACAATAATAATTACAACAACAACAACAACAACAACAACAACAACAACAACAACAACAACAACAACAACAACAACAACAACAACAACAACAGCAAGAACAATGGCAAAAATAACACAGCAAAAACATTTTAAAAATAACACCTGTGGTTGTATGATACATCTGAAGTGAATGTACATTTTGTCAGCTTTACTTCTCTTTTCATATTTAATTTTAATGAGAGTAATATTAATACATCATTTAAATTTGTATGTATACCTGCATGTGTTTTTACAGTCCTGTACAGCCAAGAAAATTACCATCTGGGATAATAAAGTATTATCTTATTTTACCTTATCTTATCTTATCTTGTCTTATCTTATCTCATTTTATCTAGTCATATATTGCCTTATCGTATCTTGTCATATCTTATCTTACCAAATCTCATCTTGTCTTATCACGTATTATCTTATCTTACATTATCTTATCTTGCCTTATCTTGTCATGTCTTGTCATGTCTCATCTTGTCATATCTTATCTCATCTCATCTTATCTCATCTTACCTTATCTTATCTTATTTGGTCTTACCTTACCTTGGCAAATCTTATCTTAATGTATCTTATCTTTACTTGTCATATATCATCTTATCTTTATCTCAATCTTATTTTTATCTTTACCTTATCTTTACCTTATCTTTATCCTGTCTATCTTATCTTTATCTTATCTTTATCTTATCATTATCCTATCTTTATCGTATCTTTATCTTATCTTTATCTTATCTTTATCTTATCTTTGTCTTATCTTTATCTTTATCTTATCTTTATCCATCCTTATCTTTATACTGTCTTATCTGTATCTTATCTTTATCCATCCTTATCTTTATACTGTCTTATCTGTATCTTATCTTTATCCATCCTTATCTTTATATTGTCTTATCTGTATCTTATCTTTATCCATCCTTATCTTTATATTGTCTTATCTTTATCTTTATCTCATTTTACCTTTATCTTACCTTTATCTTACCTTTATCTTACCTTTATCATATCTTATCTTTATGTTTTTTCATCTTATCTTTATCTCATCCTTATCTTACCTTTATCTTATCTTTATCTGTATCTTTATTTCATCTTATCTTTATGTTATCTTTATCTTATCTCATGCACACACACTGACCGTCTGTGACTTTGACCACCAGGTCATAGTGGTTGAGGCGGCCATAGTCCAGGCAGTTACTACAGGCCAGGCTGACCTCCCCTGTGCGATTATCGATGGTGAACTTTGAACTGTCCGATGTGTTCAGTAGACTGTAGGTCAGCGCGCCGTCTGGTCCCAGGTCTCCATCGGTGGCCTTGACCTTCAAACAGACATGTGACAGAGGGCAGTTTGCGGGTGCTGAAATGTGACTTATCTCTCCTCCTTCTTTCCTATCAACCATCTATCGTCCTTATCTCTTCTTATCTCTCCTCCTTCTTTCCTATTAAACATCTATCGTCCTTCTGCTTATTATTATTGCTATTATTATCATTATCATTATCATTATTATTATTAT